TTTCCAGAAGGAAATGAAGCTGAACTTGGGATGCCGCCCCCAATTTTTTTTTTTTTTTTTTTTTCCTTAGCGTTGTCTGTAATCCTCCTTTGTGAGAGCGGATTTATGTCACACAAGTAACCGAAAACTGAATCATGAACATAAATGTGTCTGGTTATGGGTTTGTTTTAATGTTATGGGTTTGTTTTACTGTATAGATAATACTATTTGGCTTATGGCTCCAAATAAGATTGTGTATTGATCTTTTCATGTGTGATAAATGTTGCTTGCGAATTTCTCAAGTTCCATCATAGCAAGTTTAATATTTGGTAACTAATATTTCTGCTGAGCTGTATCAAGTCTGGTAACTAATCTTTTTTCTTCTTGTATGTCTTCATTAGCAGTTGGTTCCTATGTGTTTGGAAGGGTTCCAAAGACCCTTATAGGGTGGGCATAGCAGCCTACATTGAAGACAGGTCTTGGGATGGTAGTTGGCTCCAAAAGGAAACTGGTTTTTCTGTTGCTGTCGCTATGGTCCTTTTTTATGGGATATTGTGACTCGCTTTTCTATTTGTTCTCATGTGAAATTGTATATCTTTAGGAAAACTATTTAATAAAAAATACAATAGTAAACAGGAATAGAATTTTAGGAGTCTTAATAGGAATTGAAATATGAATCATATTAGGAAAAGAATATCACATATGATAGGTGAGAACCAATTCAAGGTTACGAGAGAATATGAGAACACAAGGTATTTAATATAAGGGTTATTAAACACCATGGGTAGTGTATTAGAAACTAAGATTGTTTCCACTCTAGCTACTGGGTTAAACGTGGTTAGAAACTAGAATTGTTTTCGCTTTGTTTTATGTACCGGGTTTATGGTGTTATGTACTATTGTATATCGTGTTCATAAAACTATAATGGATTTCTCTCATTTATGGATGTAGATAAATTATGCCGAATCACATAAATATCGTGCCTCTTTATGTGGTGCAATTTTAATCTTATATTATTTATCTCAAATGTATATTTTCTGCTTTGCGATCTCTTGACACTTTGCTGGTATTCTCTTTCTAATTGCTCTCTTTTCCATGAGGGACGTGTCTTGCTGACACCCGTGATTACAAGCTCCCCCTCTGCGGTTACTGGGTGTTTAGATTTGAATAGCATTATTGTTAGTGTGTACATGTGTAGGTTCCTTATTTTCCATCTCCCTACTGCTTTTGTAAATTCTCAGATGGGGGGTTCTATCCCTTTTTGCTACTGCTTTTATGGAGGCTTGTAGAATGTCTTGTTAGAGTAGATACCCTAGAGCCAATCAATTGTTGTAGAATTGACTCTTTGTAATAATGTTCATTAATCAATAATAAAAGGCATTTTATTCTATATCGCATAAATCATTATTATTGTAATATGTATTGATATATGTCCTTAGAATGGTAGAACCGTGACGAGGGTATCAAGTGTTTCAAATCTTGATAGTGAGAACCCTATGAGCACATATGGTAGCCATTCTAGAAACGTCCGTAGCCCCAGTATTATTCTGAAGTAAGGGCACAGATAATATGGTAAGGCTATCATAGTGTTGAACGACCATGTCGAAAGGAAGTGACTGATCTCACTTGTCAAAGTTGTTTGGTGACAACCTGGTGCAACACATGGATGCTTACTGTAAGCGATTACACCGCAGCAAGTTCACTGGACTGACCCACCAGAGGATTCTATATGGATGGTAACTCCAGTGTCTATGGAACAAATCCTCTAACGAATGGTGATGCATGTGATCCTTAGACGTGATATCCCGAGCGTCTGTGCACCGATTGCTGCAGTTTACACTAGCCTAACGCAGTTCTTTTCAAAGCTGTCAATACGGTGGTGATTGGTTGCATCGAGGAGTGTATCAAGACTATGGTGGATAAACAGAGGATTCATCACTCCCGAGTACGGGAGAAGTTATCTCACGGCGCAATTCAGTATATGGCAATGACACTAAAACTGTGGCCACAGTGAGATTGAGTTGTTGCTCTATCCGAATTATGATACAGGTCATTGGTCCAGAAACTGAATACATAATATCGAGAGTAACCGGAGGTTGACACTATTTCTATACCTTCGTCTCGTCGAGATAACGATGATGAAATGATCGAATTGTACGGTAACCATATCGGTTGACAAGTAACTACTTTGCTGAATCCGAATCTATCGTGGCCATGATGCCTTGCTAGGGGCCAATCTTGGTCTTGATAAGTGAGACGATTAATTGGTGTTAATCGCGATGCTATACACTACCGGTATGATGAGGAGCCTATGGGTCACACCATAGAAGATAATTTAAGACTCAGGAAGAAGAAACGCGTTTTCGTCTTTTAAGGCAAAAGGGTATTTGGTAATTTCACAGTGCAATTAAATTTGCTGAGGTCGTAGCCTTATTTAATTTGTTAGAAAAATTAAATAAGTGAAATTACGGTTAATGTGTGTTCGCACATATTTAATTAAATCATCATTATTGTTAAATGTTAATTAAATATTAATTAATTTAATTAAAGATAATGATGAATTAAATAAATATCTAATTGGGAGTGTTTGGCAACATGGGTATTTGGGTTTAGCCTAAGTCCATTCCTATAGGAATAGGGCAACTTAAATAACACTATAAAGAAAATGTTTTAGTTGAAAATGATAAGTGTTTTTTTTTTTTTTTTTTTTTTCATTGAAAAGAGAAAACTTCAGCCCCAAAATACTCTCCTACGCCAGGTTTTGTTTTTGCCAAAATCAAATACCTTTTGTTTTCTTCTTGATTTCTTAAGGCCAATGAGGATCTAGCAAATCCCTCTTTGGTTCTTGTTGATTGTCTTCGTGTGGACCTCTACGGTTCGATCCTAACTTGGATCGGTAGCAAACACGTTTTGAACAATATGGTGGAGCCTCCAAACGTGGGTATGGTTTTCTTAAACCTTGAACTGATTTTTTTTGCAGATTTGATTATTTTATATAAACTGTGATTTTTGTACCCAGATCTTGGTTCTAAGGATCCATAGAGTTTATGTTTTTGTTTCTGCTACGTAACTGGGTCGTTTCCTAACATGTCTTAGCCTACACTTGCCCCTGTCAGTTTTTACTTGCTGCCTACCTCTTCTTTATGCCCATGGCTTTTTTCTGAGTTGTTTTGGAGGTGCATTTGTAGGAATTTGCTGGTGTTTGCAGGCCATCAGGAGGTTGTTTTCTTTCCTTAGGTCTGGCAGATGAGGCTACGTGGACACTAGATGCTTAACTTATGTACCTGCTTATTCCTTTTCAGGAGTTTTTTTGCATTTGACATTGTAGGTTTTGGGGAGTTTTTATCCAGGATTATGGACATTTTCCTGGCTGCTTAGGGGTTTGTGGTTCTGACTTGGTTTGGCTGGTAGCTGGATTGTCTGTTTCGGTAATTGCAAGGTTTCTGACAATAGGAATGTGGGTATTCTCTTCGTGGTTGTTTGGTAGCTGTAGCTGTAAGGTCAGTCTTAGATTTTGTTTTGTTCATTAATAAAGATAGGTTGATAATACTTCTTATAACTTTTTTTCACGAATATTAACTTGATAGTTTGTAATTGGTCAGTTACATTTGATAAAATGGATCCATTGTTGGGCAACAGGACCTTTGCATACTGCCATTACTTAGCTGATCGTCGTTTTATGAGAAAAAGTTAGTAAAAATGATTTATAGTGTAGTATTACGATTGTTCACTTTACATTTACTTCACCTAATTTTTTTTTTTTTACTCCAGCCATCTTTCTTGGTGATGGACAGGTTATTTTTTGTACACTTTTCAGGTGATTGATGGAACACTCAGGCTCTTTTTTTGCTTGTGCCCGTGGTAGACACTAGTGTTTTTTTTTTCTTTAGTTGCTTGGCCCAAGTTTCTGTGTTTAAGGGTAACTCTTTTAGGTTGTATTTTTTATTCTTAATAATATTACCCAAAAAATAGTTTATATTTGATGATGATTCATTTTCACACCGAATAAAAGCCTAAAGTTCCATACACTGTGAAACCCCATTGGTAAACTATTTAAGAATCAGTAGTTTAGTGGAAAACAACTCCGAATTTTAGTTGGTACAGCACATCGACCAAATGGGCCTAGAAAATATGATGGACAGCCCATTTTTTACATGTCTTCACCAAGTCATTGACTTACAAAAGCAAGGTTCTGCTAGAAATTATAATAATGAATAAGATTAGTCATTTTGTTCAATTGACTTCGAAAAACAAACTCTTGTGGACTATTGTATGTTAATATTGACGAAGCTGTTTAAAACTTAAAGGGCATTTAATGATACTCAAGAATGGTCGTTTTCAATGATGAATTAATATTAGAAATGAGGCTGAAAAAGATGGGAGAAGTTGCCTCCCATGACTTATTCAAAGGTTAATTGACTCCTTATTTCTAATTTGTATCAATCTTATCTTTTTGTTCAAAACCAATAAAAATAATCAACTACAACTTGAATGGTCAGTTGAGACCTAAAATGGCCATTGTTTTCTTTGTCAACAAAAGCGTATCGGTTGTACATCAAAAACATGAAAAGATACTTTACATCAACACGGTGAAATTTCAACCCAACAAAAAGATAATCTGTGTATTACATATAAATACAAAAGAACATTATCTTAAGACGAAAAAAAAAAAAAAAGAGAGAGAGAGAGAGAGAGAGATTATAGTGTGAAACTTTGAAAAATGAGATAGCTAGTTACTATTTATCATCGATCTGTGGACCTAAGTACTCAATTTCATCCATCTGTGAATTCTCTGGCACTTCAATCTCTTCCAACCACCTATAACACTCACCCTCCTCCGCATTCACTGAATTTTCCCATCTGCATACTATAAGATTCACAAGTGAGGAATGATTTACAAATTTTCTTCATAACTTCAAATTGATAAGAGAGATTAGTTTAATACTTTGATTGTCAAGTTTCACTTACTTGAGAAAGCAGAGAATGGAAACTCCTGTATGTGGAGCGTCTCGACCCAGCTTTCAATAGGGAGGTCCAAGCACATCGAGCACTGCACACGTGTATAGCTGTGAATTCGTGGATATTGCCGCCGGGGTTGGATACAATACAGAAGTGTCGCAAGGCGCTGTGAAATCTTGTCCGCTACCAACCTGCCAATCTAGCTGCAAATCATCGCAATATTGGCACATAAATGATCCCTCTCTACCTCATTCAAGTTAGTATGAGTACGGTGAAGTGTGTGTGTGTGTGCGTGTGCAAACTCTGATTGTTAAGGACTACTTCAGTTGTGAATGTGGCGGAGTGTCATGGGACTCACAGGATCAACCAAATCATAAGATTTTATGTGCATTGTTCCCAGGAGGAGTTTGCTAAACACAGTCATTTCAGGATGGTTATGCAAAGGGATAACGCAGTTGCAGGAAGAAAGAAAAGACATAGCTGCACAAAGAAGAACAAAAAGAAAGCTAATTACATAGCAGAATTTGGAAAAATACTTTGATAAAACTACAAAAAGAACATTCAAATTTCAGCTCATCCTATTTAGAACTGTAAAAGGGCCATTTCATTATGTTTAAAACCACAGACTGACTTATTAACCAATGAGAACATCTAGTCTTACCGAAAATTTCGAACACTTGTATATGGTTGTGTATGTCACAATTGGAGACCCTTAACTCCATCTTCCATTAGATGCCCTTTAGCTGCATCTTGAGCACTGAAGATCTTCTGCAGCCTATTGCTTAGCCCAACATCCTCTGGCTTCATATCATCTACAGGATAATATATATCAGCTAAAATACTCCACACTTTGGTTGATGTTAGAGTATCAGTTACATTACTGCACTTATTAAATGTATCCCATTGCTTTAATGCAAAGTTAAGTGCGATTTGGACCCCTGAATAGTAGAAAACATAACTAAAGCAAAGATTAAAAAAATACCCATATGTATTGTTGCTTAACACTTGGCCCAAGGAATCTATTAATAGTGCCATCTGTCAATACCAGCAGCAAATCTATTCATACCCACAGTAATTGTTTAATTGCACCCTCTTGTCTTCCTCCACTATTCATTACATCTATATCCAATTTATTGTTTAAATGCACTTGGAAAGTAAACACAATGAGAAACGACAAAGTACTCCCCAATCCAAGTAACCAGATTAATAGAAACTTCAAGGGATAATTTTAATGGCCCAACGTTAAGCTTATAGCCTCAGAATTTACCAAGCATTATCCATTTCATTGTTATATAGCTCCAAGCCATTAATTCTTAAATAAACGCCTACATGATTAAAATGAGTAGAAGAAACAAGATTTTGAAGTAACAAAATCTAACTTGAAATGGATTTTTCTGATCCTTAAAGAATGAGGCTAAAAGGTTGATAGAAAAGATTACTAGCTCTTATTATAATATCGAGTGTTGAATCCATCGATTTGGTAAAGGAATGATCTAAAATAATTTAGGAAAAAATAATGGAAGAGTTCAGTAGAACATGAAAACGCGACTGAATTGGTTTTAGTTAACACATAAGTAGCTAAAGTTTGGCAATTACTAACAATTTAACATTGATCAACACTTAGAACCACTTAACCAAGAATTTTGATCTTAGTAGATTCAAATATCAAATCTAATTTTATAAATTATTCTCGATTCAATTTTCAAATTTCTATACCAAATGTGACAATCGTTGACTTCAACTTTACACAGGAAAAGGCTCAAAATACTATAAATATATCAAAGTATGCATGGCAATTTCAAAACACATGCAAGCAATAACAGAACACAAAAAATCACAAAACCAACAACTCAAAACGAAATGAAATCAACAAAAGACTTGAAAACAAAAACAAAAAATTTACCAATAATTTTGCACAACTTGCTGACATCACAGAGCGGGCACAGAGCCGGGCCTTTGAACACATCTCTGCACCAACAAACAATTCTGCAGCGCTCGAGGACCTTCGGCTCTACACATCTTTGAATTTTGTTTCACATCTCTTCTTTTTGATAGCTTTAGGAGCATATCCAACCTTCTTCACATGCTCAACTCTTTCTCTTCTTTGCTCAACTCACGCCGCCCTCCATCGTCATCACAACTCTATAGTAAACCAAAACCACAACACCAATTCACCATGTCTCCTTCAATTTTACAGTTAGTTGAGATTAAAAACAAGCAAAACGCAGAAACGCCACAAGAAAAATCGAAAGTTGGCGTGGAGACGATGAGAAAGACAAGATTTTGAGAGAGTTGTTGATGGAAGAAACGGAGAGGTAGATGGATATGGATATAATAAGAAATGGACAAAGGGCAAAACCAGGGGCCATGGAGAAGAAAAGTGTGTATGTTTTGAGAAAACAACCTAAAACATGGAAAGCAAAAGCAGTTTTCATTTGTTTGCAATTCCCGCCCCTAGTTTGTGTGTTGAAACTGCCTAATCGCGACCCTGGTTTCCAAACAAGGATGTGAAATTACTGATTGCCTCTCGAAAACTGTTGGCAACTTGTCTTGTTTTGCTTCACTTAATTATAAAAGTAAATAAAAAGGAAAATGTAAAAACACGTGATTGATTAATTTAGTAATGTTGAGAATTACACAATTTCTTCCTTATTATAATTAAGGTCTAATATATTTGTATTTTCTTGTAAATAAAGGTAAATGATAGAGACATCAATTATTATCTTATTTTAACCAAATGGGGAAGATTATGACAACAGAGTTGAAAGATTAATAATAATAAATGAACATTAGGGACCACTTTAGAAATTAAAAAATGAATTTTAAATTACTTTTGCACATCCTTTGCAGATAAAATGTTAAAGATATATATTTCTAATTTAATGTATCGCATAAAATCGGATTTCAAGTTAACGATAATTCTATAATATATCCTTGCATAAAAAATTCTAAGATTTTTCTATAATTTAGTTTAAGAAATTAACTTAATATACACAAAGACCCTATATATTACTACAATCATACATTTGGTGTCGGTCCCTTTTTCTTTTTTTTAACTTTCATTTAAAAATTGATTCCAACTATTATTATTATTATTACTATACTACGATGATAATTTCATACTAAAAATGTCGCTAAGTTTCATGTTATTTTTATAATTTTTTTAAAAAGAGAATTTTAAAAATATATTTATATAATGTTAAAAACAGTTGGGATATAAATATTTATATATAAATAAAAAGTCATATTTTTAATATATACTATATAATATATAAATAGTACAATATATTTTAAACTAAAATCAGATCCTCATATGTTTAGTTACTATTCAATAACCATTTGAAAAATAGCAAATATATTATGAGCTATGTAATTGGAAAATGTTATATGATGAAGTTTTAAAATTAAGTTAATAAAATTCATTTGATAATATTTTTCATAATATGTGAAAAAATCATTCACCATAATACACATAGAAGATCGACTTTGTGATACTTAACAATTTATATTGGCATTAAAAGTTCTTAAGTTGTCCTTGTAATATATATCATATATAACACGAAAATTGATGAAATAACCATATCTGAGGGTCTTAATAAAAAAATGACAAACTCTAAGTGTCTCTCTCATTATAATTAGGAAATTTACAATAACCATATAGGCAAAAGTCTTGTAATTTATATTTTAAAAACTTACATTTTTAGGTTAGATATAGATCTTAAAAAAAAATAATAATAAAAAAAAAAAATAGTTGATAAAATTTAGGAGAGACTCGTAAAATTTCAGAAGAGACATTTTTAAATTACAACATACCTCTCAAAATTTTAAATAGCCCTTATAAACTTATAATAATGACCTATAAATGCTAACTATTATTTGGCCAAAATATTATGAAAATACCTACAAACAATTTTGAAATTACAAGAATCTCAAAAAGTTTTGTAAAAAATACGAAATCTTAACATTACAAGGAATCTCGTCATTTTTTAAAAAAATTAGAGAATTTTTTTTTTTTTTTTTTTTGGTTCATAAATATCTATATGTTAGTAATAAAAAACAGAAATTTCACGTCCAAAAGCGTAGTACACATGGAAAACTATTTTCATCCCATATTGACCCAAAAAAAAAAATCTACACCAGTTGCATCAAATCAAATGATTTTTTTTTTATTATAAATATAAACATAAATAATATTTTTACATGTAAAAATGATATAAAATCATGATTATCATATGCTCAAACCGTCAACTGTTAGTTTTGGTGAAGATTGGAGAATGAAAAATAGACATACGGAAAAGACAGGGGTTATTTTGTATTTAATTAAAGTTTAGTGTTCAATTTGGTGATTTCATCCTATTTTCCTTATAACTATATAGCACGATTAGACGAATATAGGGCAATTCCATATTAATGATAATGATATTCAATGTTAATTCTTATAACTTATATATTATCAAGATTTTTTTGTAGAAGATATTTAAATGGGAATTTCCCCAAACATGTTAACAGAAAAAAAAAAAAAAAAAAAGGTTTGTTAACATGCACTTTTAAGGATATACATTTAAATTTTATTTTTTTATAAAATTAAAATATATGTTTTTTTTTTTTTTTTTTTTGGTATTAATATCATTAAAACTTTATAATTTGCTCGGCTTTTACTTTTTTATTGAAATCTGAATAATGTTTATATAATTTTATCTAAAGACTTTTTAAGTTTTGAAGGTAAAAACTTGGGTTTAATTTACTCTTTTCCTATCAGATCGGTAGTATTAAACTTATTTGTTTTATTCAAAAATATTAAATACCTCTATCAGCTATTAGTGGGTTTTTTATATTTTTTTTTAATATTTTTAAAGGTTTTAATATTTTCTTAAAAGAAGTTGATAAGTACAATTTTTGAAGGAATTTGAGATAGAAATACATAGACTTTAAGCACTCTAAATAACTTTTTATATGCCTAAATTCTTTATCATAAAGAGTTTATCCATAAACAAGAGTCCAACAAATTTCTATTCTGTAAATATAATTAAAGAGTGAGTTTGATTCTCTTTATCTAAAGAATCAAATTTTATTCTCTATTCTAATTTTTTTATAAATTATAATTTTCTATACATTTTGTTTTTTAATCTCTCTCTTATTAAATTTCTTTCTTAAAAAAACTTTTTTCCTCCTACAATAGTCTTTTTAGTTGTCTATATATTCATGCTCTAATTTTCTTTTCTCTAAAACATGAATTTTCAAACTGGTAGTAATGTAAATTTGTTTATTGGTTTCGTTGAAAATTCTCAATTTTCAACCCAATTTTCAAACTCTGATGATATATCTATTTTCACCGATCATCAAGAATAACATCGACTAAACTAATAAAAAGGAAAAGAGGTGGAAAGATTGTGCAGGAGAAGATGGAATTGAATATAACTGTTTAACTTATAAAGAAAAAAAGGGATAGTGATGAAATATAAAGAGGGAAATTTAGGAAAGAGAAAAGGGAGGAAAAAAATAAAAATCATAAATGTTTTGTGGGAAAATGTAAAATAAAGAATTAAAATTTAAAAAGTTTATTGAATTTGAATAAAAATTTTGTTTTTTATAGTTAGAAATTAATGAAAATACTCTTTATTTATACGAAAGATACTATTTAAAATAAAAAATCACTATTAGAAATGCTCTTAGAAGTAAAATAATATTGTCAATTTGTAATGTACCAAGAAGTAGATAAAGGTTATTTAAATGAGTAGAAATGTATTTGTTCATTTTAAACAAATATAATACTGTCGATTTAATTAAAAATAATTATAATTTTCATTAAGTGAAAAATGAAAAAACAAAAACTTATTTTCCCATCTTAATCTCTAAAAAAAATCATTTTTAAATAGAAAAATACTAAATAAGAATTTTTAAAAAATTGTTTATTTCATTAGTTTTATTTATTCTTTGACTAATCAGTAATACTACACTCATAAACATTTCTTACAAACTTTTCTCAATAACACTGACATGACAGTTCGTAATTGGTCAACTCACTATAGGTCATGCTTGCCCAATAATAGATTCTGTCTGACCA